AAAGTCTATCCATATTTTCACCGTCATGCCTGTGGTGCAGTGCCCTAAAAAAAAGAAAAGTCCAGCCCAAGCCGCTCCATCAGCCAACAATACACTAGGCAGTGAAGAACACAAGATCTGTGGTTTATACATAGTTGTGAAACTGCCATGGTACGAAGGCTCCCCAGAGGAATGGCATTCGAGCCTCAGCAGGGAAAAACGGCATTGAATCTTTACTCCGGCGGTTGATTCAGGCACCCCGTCTCCTGAGTGGAGACTCATGTCTTTTTAAAACATGAATTTAACCGGGGCCGATAAATTAAATTGACTCAAAAGTGGGCACACAGACTTGCACGGATTTAACTAAACCTGTGTAACTTGGTGCATCAACCAGGCCTTACTGGTTTAAAGCAATCAAAATAATCCTAGTTTAAACTGAAATAAGGATTTCCAGAGGGCTTTTTGCACCAGTTTAACTAAACCAATTAGAAGATCACACTTTTAATTAAACTGATACAACTTCCTCCTGTAGACAAGCCTTCGGTCTTTCCTGGTGAGGAGGCGTCCACACCACACAAAAAGGCACCATTAGAATTGGCACTCACTGGAACCCTTGTTGGCAATTTCAGCAAAGAACAGCCCTCAAGATAAAGAGTTAGGTACATTAGTAGGAGCAATATAGAAAGGCTTGAAGCGTCTGTACCCATTCTACGGGTATTCTTTGGATAAGTAGAGGACTTTCTTTTGCAGGGCTGCAATATGGCATCTTTTACCACCCCTAAATGGGAAAGAGTGGAGGGAGAAGAGGTTGGAGGGGGAGGAATATGGGGTTGGATCTGCCTGGCGCAGAACACTCTAGCTGTGGTTGAGCAAAACACTTGATTTCAGTGGTACTATTCTCATGCTTAATGTTTGATCACATGCTTAAGGGTTTGATCCTGCACCATTCAAATCAATGAGGGTTTTCCATTGATTTGAATGGGATCAGACTCAAGCCCTAAATGCATTGCTGGATCAGGGCCAGAGGTTTCAGCACTATGTAGGATCCAGCCGATAAAGGAAGAGGCGATAGGGAAGAGGGAAAGGAAGGTAGAGACCAAAGAAATACAGATATGAAGTCTTACATGTTCAATTTCCTCAGATGTGCAGGTCTCTCTTGTTAATATTAAGCAACCCATGACAACACCGTTGCTCTGCATTTTCTAAAGGAATAACTATTAGCCTGATAAACAAACCTAGAAGTGTCCTAAGTTCAACAGAATGTCTCCTCTATAGAGATTTTATGATAAATGTAACTAGGTAATAGGTATGCAAAAAAATAAAACAGAGAAAATTAACACTGGCATTGCGCTAGGATGTTCACTATAAATGCTGGATTCTTATAGGTAAGGGGGAGAAAAAAACCCACAATCCTTTCTTAAAACCCAGTGATACAGGCTAATTTATATGCAGTTATTCACGTGTGCAGTAAATTCCAATTATGTTTACAGATGTCTGCTTAACATTTATGGAAAAGGAACCTCAGCATGTCTGAAATATCCATATAAGGAGCTTGGACTGGGCTTTCTATTTTTTTAACCCAATACCAATATAATTATATTTTGCAGATTTAAAAAAAAAGAAAATCCAGCTGAGCTCTCTGCTAGAAGGTTTAAGATTCAGTGTATTTGTTTTGGTTATATGACCATACTGTAAACATTTTAAGACTCTACCATCTTTTAAAATGGCTTTATACACCACTAGTAAGGGTTAGTCAGTTTTGCAAAAAACCAAATAAGTAAATTTAAAAAATATGTAGGTCTCCAAACGGCTTGTTCACTCTTCATCTGGGAATTTCTCATGCTGGAAAATATTGCCTGGTTGTTCTCCTTTGAACACCTCTCTGTTATGTATCTGACAAGTGTGTAACACTCTCACCCCTAGGGACACTGGCATTTTGTTCACAAATATGTGAAAAAAACACAGAACTGTTGTTGTTTTAAATCCTTTTTTCCCTAGTAGTGCATGTTCATTGAATTATTGTCAGTTTTGCACATTTTGTTACTGATTTGTGGAATGTGTTGTTATGCTGTTTGTGATGACGATGACAATAATACTTGTATATAATTATTCGTATTACCCATCAGCCCCGGCTGAGATCAAAGCCCCGCTGCACTAGGTGCTGTACATATATGTAGTGAGAAATGTCCCCACCCCAAAGATTTTACAATCTAAACAGACAAGAGTGTGAGAGAAACAGAAGCACAGAGAGATGAATTTTCTAACTGTGACAATAATGCATTTACACAGCACCTTTCATACCAAGATGTTCATATCCCTATTTTTGGTGGGGAAACTGAGCAACAGAGAGGCTACACGACTTGCAGTCACAGTGAGTCAGTGGCAAAAGAAGGAGCAGGTCCGAGTAATCCTGACACCCAGTCGCCTGCTCTAAGTGGCAATTACATTCCCAAGAATGTTGCTACCTCTCTAATGAAATCTCCTGATGCACTGTACTGAATCGGTAGCACTTTGCACCCACTCCTGCACTGGTGTAAATTACTGTACGAGGCACGGGGCAATGGAGACTCTGGCCCTGAAAGTGAAGGTTTGTTTCTTGCTATTCCTCTGTCTGAGGATATTGAAACTGCCCATTCTCTCTTCATCTGAAACACCTATATTTTGCTACAGCACATGCTCATGGCATCACAGTAAGGGACTAACTGGAGTCTGAAGACTCTGTCAATCCATGGGACAGGGACAGTCGGCATCCACGCAACATCCCCAACATTTACAAGGCACGGCCATGAAGAACGAGCGAAAATCACTTAGTAAAGGAATTTTTTTTTTTAAGGCAAAGTTGCTTATTTGTGTGTATCCACCTCACTTTTCCATTGGACACTGCTGGCTGATCTCACACACAGCATCCCCCGCAGCAATCTTATGTGTATTTGGTAGTTACTTAACACACCATGTTAGCATGCAGGAACTGTGTAGCAACTTCAGCAAGTAACTAAACTGCAAATCACCACTGCCATTGTTCAGTGACCCATCAGGCATTTTAAACACTGTCTCAGTACTTCTCTGAGCAGAGTTAGTCCATTTTGCCATTGTTTAATCAGAGGCTATGAGAAGGCCTGCTTTTTCTTTTGCTAAATAACTACAGATCTGTAATATTAAAGCAGGCGAGCTCAGGTGTGTGAATTTAAACTACACGTGTATTTGGAAATGGAATATTTTTTTCTCCTCCTTCTGAAGCGCTAACCCAGTTAGAATATTAATCTGGGATTGTAAAAGCTACTGTATGAAATCATTTCTCCAGAACACACACAGCCCTAAACCATTCTTCAAATATTGAAGCAATCCTGCCGCACCAGAGGACTTTGTTTTGTGTATTTGCTCGTCCGGCCTACAGACTGAGGTGGGAACTGAATCTTTCCATGTGTTTCCTTGTGGAGACAACATAATCTCCAGCAGGTATGCACAAAAGATTTGTTTTGAATTAACACCTTATTGGTTTTGTGTAAAGTCATCTGAGGGCTCAACAGCGAGCAGAGATTATGCCCGCTGCACTTAAAGCATACGCAGGAGTCATATCAGAACAGCAGACCCGGCTATGCTGTCACGCTGTATTTTGTAACATTTTCTCAAGGTGTTCAGACACCAGAGTGATGAATGTGGTTGTCATAAATATAAAGGGAAGGGTAAACACCTTTAAATCCCTCTTTGGCCAGAGGAAAGACCCTTTCACCTGTAAAGGGTTAAGAAGCTAGGATAACCTCGCTGGCACCTGACCAAAATGACCAATGAGGAGACATGATACTTTCAAAGCTGAGGTGGGGGAGAAACAAAGGTTCTCTCTGTCTGTGTTGCCTTTGCCGGGACCAGAGCAGGAATGCAGGTCAGAACTCCTGTAAAGGGTTAATAAGCAATCTAGTTAGATATGCCTTAGATTCTGTTTTGTTTAAATGGCTGGTAAAATAAGTTGTGCTGAATGGAAAGGATATTCCTGTTTTTGTGTCTTTTTGTAACTTAAGGTTTTGCCTAGAGGGATTCTCTATGTTTTGAATCTGATTACCCTGTAAGGTATTTACCATCCTGATTTTACAGAGGTGATTCTTTTACTTTTTCTTCAATTAAAATTCTTCTTTTAAGAACCTGATTGCTTTTTCATTGTTCTTAAGATCCAAGGGTTTGGGTCTGTGTTCACCTATGCAAATTGGTGAGGATTTTTATCAAGCCTTCCCCAGGAAAAGGGGGTGTAGGGTTTGGAAGGATTTTGAGGGGGGAAGATGTTTCCAAGCGGGCTCTTTCCCTGTTATATATTTGTTAGACACTTGGTGGTGGCAGCAATAAAGTCCAGGGGCAAAAGGTAAAATAGTTTGTACCTTGGGGAAGTTTTAACCTAAGCTGGTAAAAATAAGCTTGGGGTTTTTTCATACAGGTCCCCACATCTGTACCCTGAAGTTCAGAGTGGGGAAGGAACCTTGACAGTGGTGAAAGGGCTTAAGATCAAACCCACTGAAGTCAATGGAAAATACTCTTATTGATGGGCTTTGGATGAGGCCCTATATGCATTGGTAGAAGTTATAACCGGCTGCAAGCCATAGATACAACATTTGGGCTGGATTCGTATCAGTTTGGGCAGGTGGATTTGGATTCAGAACCTTGGTTTAGTCCATAACAGGAGCTAGCTGCGAAGTTCAGCTCAAAATGCCGATCGAGAACCAATCTCCACCAAAGTTTCTAGATGTTCCTTTGGGACCTGTCTCTAGTTAGAAATATGCATGAAAGGCTTGACTCTGCAAAGAGCAGTCACATTTTTGAAAAAGACTGTGTGGGGAGCAATGATCAGTCTAGAAACCAGCATGCCAGAGCCACAAGTGCCTCTAAGAAGTAAGCAAAAAATGGAACGTCCTCTCTCATTAATTATAACTTGAGCTTGCGACCATTGGTGAAATACGTATGCCTGAGTTTTAACATGATTTTTTTATTATTAACACACACATAGCGAAGTAAATAAACTGCCCACAACTCTGCAGTAAAGTTTAAAAATCCAGTTTTATTCATGGTTATTTATTAATTATCATGTATTAATCTGAATTTCCGTCACTCCTCTTTCTCAAGTAACAAACATTAACTAATTAAGGAAAGAAAGGTTTTATTTAATCAAAATGGAAGAAACACATTGGTAGGTATTATACATTGGTAGGTATTATACTTCCTAATCAAATGCAGCACACACACCGATCTCTCTGTTAGAAAAGTGCTAACAAAAATGTGGATTGTAATTTCATTGTCATCACAGAAACATGTGTGTTTGGAAAACTGCTCACAAGAGTTTGGTTTTGCTTCTAAAAAGAACACCCATTTTTAACACGGTTTAATGAAAGTCCTACTAGTATGAACTAATGGTACAGAGAGCTGTTCAGGGCTACGTTGGTCTCATATTTCATGCCTCCTATGCTGTGTAGTTCTTGTCTAGATCCTTCAGCAGCTTCTCTCCAGTCATCTTCACCTGCAGATACAGAGATATAATGAGGATATACAATGGGCTAGCTAATAAGAGGCATCAATACTTTGTAACTTGTGAATGGCAGGCTCAATGACAAGTTATGAAAGGTCATCAAAAATGAGAGGGAAAGAAATTATGTCTCAGCTCATTAGATATTCCTTTTAGGTGACATTGTTTGTTCATGTTTCTTTAAGTAGTTGATGTGATATGTTGTAACTTGTGATGTTAACAGCCTTGCTGCCGGGAAGCCTAACAGTCGTGCATTTAAAATACTTGACCGGGGAATAAGACTAGTGTATGCTGTAGTATAAACAGATAAAGTGAGGTACGGATGGTGTATTCGCCTTTTCACTCCACACTTTTGCCCCTCGTTATTTATACAGTCAGCCTTAACTCATAGAACAAAAAGTTTCCAGTATGTCCAGTGTCTTACCCAGAGAGAGAGGCCATTTCTATATTGGCAGGCTTCATAGCCATAATTCACCACCTATATAGCTCCACCAGAACAGCTGCAGCAGTGGGAAATGGAGGATAGATGGGGCGCAGGGTGCAGGATGCTAAAAAACAGCCAGTCGGGCAGCCCTATGACAATGGAAGCTGGAAGGCTGCATGTCCAGTGGATAGTGCATTGGCATGGGAGTTAGAAAACCCTAGTTCTGTTCCTGGCTCAGGCTGCTGGGTGACCTTGACTGAATCATTTCATTCTCTGTGTCTCTTTTGCGCTCCCATGCTTTGTCCATTTAGGAGTTAACTCATTGGGGCAGAGGCTTGTGTTCGTAGCACAATGGGGCCTTGATCTCACCCGGGGCCCCTAGGCACTACTGTGATATAAATAATAATCCCGTGAAATAACCTTTGAAAACGATACGAGTTCTGCATGTTCTGGGCTTGTCGGTTTTGGCCCTCTGTATGAGGCTATCAACGCATACGAGTGAAACACAAGCAATGTACCTAGAGTATCAGAGCATAGGACTCAGCGGAGGGATTGTCTGCGCGGCCTTGCAATTTGCACTATGGGGGAGTGAATTGCAGCGTGTACTTGCATGCTGCCCTGCAGCTCCCCGGTGTGGATGTTGCTGCTGCAAACTCGTTCCCATGAACATAACCCTCTTTCAAACATGACTAGGTAATACAAACCTAGGTACCTTTGCATCAGCAGTGTCAACAAGGGGCAGTTACAGTGCATGTTACAATTCACACCCCCGTAGTCCGAACTGTGGGTCCGTACAGACATAGCCTAAGTGAGGGATTCTGAGGATATCGTAGACTGCGGCAGCTACCCTCGCATAGGCCAAACTCGGCCCTCAGTTCCACCTGTAAAAACCAACTAAAACCAGGGGGATTATACAGGTGTGACTGGGACAGAGTTTGACCCAATGTTTTTTGTCTTACCTGGCTGGTGTCTCTTCTCTGTGTACCTACAGTGATATGTTTTATAGTTGTATTTGCAATTTTTCATCTCTTATTTTACGTGTAGCATGCGGGTCCATTTTCTACATGCATAGTCAAATTCAGTCAGATAAGTTCAACGAGGTATAATATGCACTGTATAATAAAATGCAAGGAATCAAGTTATAATAATATGCATGTCTATTAAAATGTGTGGTTAACCATCTCTGGCCAGTTTTGCCACTCCATTACTCCAGTTTTAGGCCATTGTAGTCTCTGTGAGTACAACTGCCCATACCAGGCCCCCTCTCTATTAGATCCTTCCTCTGACTTCACCACCATGTCTGTCAGCATAGGGGGGCCTGCAAGCCAGCCTCTGCCTGCATTTTGATAGAAGCCAGAATCAGGGATGTGAGAACTTCCACACTGCACTGCCCTTCTGCCTGCAGGTTTCCTGCCATATGCCCATCTGCATCAGGCAGACAGAATTTTGCCCTAAGCTTCTTACACTTCAACGGGTACAAAACATTTGTCTGATTCAAATTGTATAAACAACAAAGTGGACTTCTGATCATGTTGTAAAGTGGGGGGGGGAATGTCTTGTCAAAACCTATGTGCCAAATTATAGACCTATAAAAATAGAAGCCTCTAATGGAAACACTATGTAAACTCTGATATCATATTGTATTTATAGTGTGCGTAGATTACATAGGAACACCATATTAAAAAGGTATAATATATAGATGGAGAAGGATTAAATCAGCAGCCAGGAATAGAGAGCAAGGATATAAATTCATCAGTAGATTCTGATTTCATCTTAACAAACCATGAACAAAATTTGAGTTGTGTTAGATATTCCTGAAGAGGCATTAATGTTGCCGTCCAGGGGGCTTGCTTTCTTTTTAAATACTAAATAGAGATGCACCAACCATTTTCAAATGATAGTGAGAATGACATTGCTGATTTATCCCTGGTGTTGGTTTATTGTCATTTCATTTTACTTAGACAGTCCTATCCATTTTATTTCAATTATTTTTCTCTCCAATGCTCAAACATCCTACTTGGTGATGATACAGAAACCTGAAGCCACTACTTTGCTGATGACCTAAAAACTTTATATTAGAAACACTCTTCTCCCAGCTGCTTGTGAAAGGCAGAATAATGTCTTGATCCTGCAAAACCCTTTCTTTATTCTCATACTCACATGAGTAGCCCTGTTGAAAGCTAATGAAACTGTTCACTTGAGTAAGCGCTGCATGATCGTTCCTATTATGAACTAAAGAATAGTTCATATTCTTCAACAGGCTGTGGATCAGGCCCTTATAGAACTTATCTGTGGATTTCTAAACATTCATTTAGGGTCCCATCACCCCATGGTATGTAAGTATCATCATCCTCTTGCAGGTGGCACAGAAAGGTGAAGTGACTTGCCCAAGGTCACACAGCAAGTCAATGGCAGAGCCAAGGAGAAAGGTCCAGTAGTCCTGTTTCCTCTGCCATCACCATTAAACTTACTTCTCCCTATAAAACAAGTGTTATATAGACATTAGATAGATTAGATTGACTCACTCACTGGGAAGTTCACTGACTGTGAAATTAGTAAATTACCTAGGCCCAAAGAATTTAGAAAAACAATATAATCCTGGGGGTGCTGAAATAATTAATTTGCTAATCAGCTACACCTTGCTTTTTTAATTTGCAAATAGTACTCTGGTTTGTTGCCTATTTCAGCCACCTCAGAAAGAACAATATTTCAGGAAGCATGCCACCTTCTCTCAGAGTACTACTGTCTATGTGTATTCTGCACCACAGGATTGGCCAGTTCTTAATATATATAGGTTATGCTGTCCAGTGCAAACGAAACTGACCCTGTGATCCAACCTCACAAATGTTGCCAGGACATTTGTGAAACTAGGTTTAGAAAAAAAAAGCTTCTGAATTTTAATAATTTTCTGTTTTGTGCTGTTTGTCGCCTTGTGTCACTTTGTTGTTGCCATTTGCATTAAATCATCTCAAATGCAGAGTTTGCCAGAAACGACAATTAATATGGAGAAGGGGGAAAGTATTACCATCTATTATTTGCCATAACATGAATTTAAACCAGGAAGTCAAATGATAAAATATGTGGTGAAGGAGGGAGGGAGAGGAGTACCCAAATGAGTAATAGCCTTGGGCTTCTGAGCCTGAACTTAATGTGCTAAGTAAATCCCTGAGGTTAAAAAAGTATGAAAATTGTTGCAGCTTAGGGAGATATATTTTAACTTTGCAAAAGGTCCCTGCAAATCCACCACCAGACTTTTAGATGGATACAAATATAGAATATACACAAATACTGTTTGTTGGTGTGTGTGTGTATATATATATATATGGCACTCAAAATTCTATTAACCCAGGGTGAGTTTTGGGGGTTTTTTTTGGATAGATGAGTAAAATACCCAGTAATGGCTTTTATTAATACAGTAAGGGTGAATGAGTAGATATTATGCCTGAATAGGTAAATTTTCATTACTATATCGTCTGGGAGTATAGCTAATATAAGGTATGTTTATCCATATGTGTACATAAGCGGGTGAGGGGGAGTGCGCACACATAATACATACTGTAAAGTTAAAAGCAAGTTAATGCTTATGTTCCTGAATAAGGGTTACGGTTTGCAATGCCATCTCTAAGCAAAATATAAACATCTTAAAAAATTAAATTTGAAAAAGGAAAAGCTTCCCAAGTTTAGTGTAAATTAACCGTAGCCACTTCATGACACTGCAAACAAGGTCTGGTTAGGGAAAAGGCTTTGCAGTCTAAACATATTTACCCAGTATGTCAGGCTATAGTTCAGTTGCACCAGTTTGAAGCCTACAGTCAGATTGTTACATTTGTGTACGTAGATTGAAAGGTAATTGATGCCTTTGTGTGGTGCATTTATGCCCGGCTCCAACTCTTTCTCTTGAAAACTCTGTCTTCCTATTGAGTTGACCATGCTGCTGAATTTATGAAGAGAGATGTTTTAGCAGAAATCCCCCTGAGTCTGCCATCAGTCCTAAATCCCCAGCCTGCTCTCCCTGGGAGACCTCATGACACCGAGCATGCCAAAACAGCTTCCTTTTGCCTATGCATTAGCAATTTATTTTACCTTTTTGACATCTCTCACACATAAAACCGTAAGAGAGAAATAAAATATCTGTCTCTGGGCGAAAATAAAGCTTTGCCTCCCTCCTGATCTATAGGATATAAAATAAAGCCATGGCTTTGATAGTGGCTTTTCCTTATGCTGGAGTTGCTTTTGCATACACGGAGACAATGAAGATGAATGAGCTGGGATTCGCTGCATCCTCGTGGGGTTTGTTTCACCCCCCCTTTTTTTTAATGGTCTTTCTTCCCCCACCGCTCACACCCTCTTTACTTGTTTCTTTTATTTGTCTTTTAGCTGCCTTTTCTTTAAAAAAAAAACTTTTAATTTTCACACACACACTGGTTTTCCTTCTAGCAATCAGGTCTCACTCTCACACTCAAACACATTCACACACACACACAGTTGTTCTCTCTCACCCATTTGCTACAGTTGTTTGTGAACTACTGGCTTTGGTCAAGAGAAAGAAACAACCCAGGGGTAGACAAGA